AGGAGTATTGATAACATCGTTTACACTAGAACAGGGGTGGGCAACCGCTGGCACTAATTTTTTCTGGCACGCGAAACCATCTCCTGTAATCCTCCATTTAACGACTTTTTCTCAATAGCGGCTTTTTTATTTCTCAGATAAATACAGTGTAGAGGTGCATCTCAGATAAATAAATAATTTTACATTACAAATTACCTTAAAGATTTCTTCCCAGACCCGATCAGTGTTTTGGTTTCAGCCTCCGCACCTGGTTTTTGTTGACAAGACAACCGCCTCACCATAACTAGATGATGTCAGACAGCGCTCCTGATTGGCCGTTTATCATCACCCACTGAGACGCTTCATCACACACTTTATCTTTATCTATATGCAGACACACACGCACGCTCGAGTGAGCTAGCGAGAAGAATTCATTTCTATGGTGCTGAATAGAGGAAAGCGGGTCAACGAATGAATGAATGACAAGCAAGCTCCGTGGCTGTTGCATTAACTGTCAGATACACCTTAAGAATATGTTCTCAAAAAATTTTGGTTGGCACGCGGAAGAATTTTGTGTCAGAGGTTTTGCTGGTTTTGGCACGCATGCACAAAAAGGTTGCCCACCCCCTGCACTAGAACATGATGTTTTTTAGCTTATGTGAAACTTAGAAGAAACTTGTCAACTTTTCAATACCACTACGACCTTCACAATACCTTATGTAGTATTCTACAAGAGGTTTGGGTGCAATGTACCAAGCCATTTTGTTGTAGGCTGGCAAGAGAATAAGAAAAAGAATTACAAATGGACTGCTTTGAGCAGATTGTCTTTTCCTTGTAAGTCTAACATGCTTGCTTTTTTTTTTTTTCATTTTTATATGTGTACAACCTTAGCAGGTAATAGTAAAGGTTTTAGTGTTGTTTGAACTGAATCATTACTGTTTTAAGTTTTTTTGCACAAACATTTTATTAGGGTTTTGTGCAATTCCTTGCAATCCCTATTATGAACCACTGTCAAGGTTCATGACATCACTGGTTTTTACATGACTGTAAAAACTTAACTAGTCTATCCAATTAAATTGTTCTTTCATGTTCTAGTGGTATAGAATATGGATCAACTTCTGAAGTTACGTTGTATTAAAGTATTGCTTGAATGGTTTATTTTATTTTTATGTTCATCAGAAATTATTTTATTAGTTACCTAATGCAAAATGACATTTTAATATTACTTTTTCTGGAGTTTTCTTTATGTAAGACCTATTCTAAAACAACCGGTGCTTTAAAACAAAATCATTGTTTGTACTCGTGAACAAAATTTTTGTGGAGATACTTCATCTCTCCACAAATTGACAGATTAGTAATTGCAACCTCTCAGAGATATTTAATAAGCTCCAATCCAAGTACATGTATGCTATCAATGTTTTGCACTTATTCTGTATCTGTATGAAAAAAATATAGAAAGAGTAACCATGGGGTGTGTGTATATAGCATGGGTCTAATGTTATGTTATCATGTAAAGTATGCCTGAAATTTTAATTTCACTAATTGAGTCAAGTTTCATGTATTCAAAAACAAATTTTTATTAGTATTTGAAACCTGGATTAGTTACTTTGTAATTTTATATATATATATACATATTAGAAATATAGCAAGCAATTTGATGTACAAGAAAATTGAAAATGATACATATATCACTTTTCAAACTTCCAAGAAAGTTAATTTTCCTTCAGTAGAATTACAAAGAAACTCAAAGAATTCATTGTATTTCAAGTACCAAAAATTACTGTGAGCCTATTTGGTGATGTAGTGATAGCTGTACATGTGGTTCTTTTCTGTTTATTTATACAAGCTTTATATAGTTGCCTGTGCCAGTTTTTTGTGGTCAAAGCTAAATTCTTTTCTATTTTTAAGTTGTATATTTAATTGAGTGTGTGTATGTGTTGTAGAAATAGTTTTGAATAATTGTTAAGTGGGCGGAATACTCGTTTGTGTTTCATATATAATTTATGAAGAAACTGAAAAATAAACAATTATGGTTATAATACAACACAGGGAAGAAAATTGCATTCATACAACTGGTGTTTATTAAGATTCATTTTTATAGTTATAATAGCCATTTATTATTTGTTCTAATACTTGTGCACACTCCTAAAGGAAAGGCCTCTGTTAATAATTATACTAAAAAAAGTGTTAAAACTAAGTTTGTCTCACATTAAGATTTCTAGTGAAGTGCTTACTCATTTTTAAAAGGACTGTGCTCATTTACAGAGTGTTGTTTTTAGATAAATGTTTAACATGCTTGTATACGTTCATGTTAATCTATGAATTAGTTGTTGCAGCTTACAGCTGTTGTTTTTGTTGTAATCAAAGATAAAGAAAGTAGGTAACACATTCCAATTACAATGAAAAGTTTTTTACAACTTTTATAACACAAGTGTCACCTGGATACCTTCAAAAACATTCATTCTATATTTTAATCTAACCATTCTTCATTTGGGAAATACTGATACTTGATTTTTCATGAAAAGTAATTCTGAGCTCACACTTTTACTGTATTTTGTGTACTGTTTCTGTTATTTTAAACATATTGTAAAGGAAGATAGATTTAGGTTTCACTGTGAGAGTTCATTTATACACACATATATTACCCTTTTGACATGAGCCAGTCTGTACCATGCTCTACAAGCCATGGTATATAATACATACATGGGAAATGAACTTCTTGAGTATCATAACCTTGATGATTTGTATATCCTGTTTACTACATTGCTACTAAAAACCAAACCAATTTAGTTTAAAATAAATTTATTTATGAATCTCGTGGCAAGTGTTTTTTGTTTTTTTTATGCTCTATTAAAAAGTAGATTGAACATTACAAAATTTATGTTTAGTGTAAACTGTGTTGTTATAAAATAGTAGAGTTGATATTATTGATACATTTCTTTAAACTTCTTGTCAATTCTAATATTCCTTAAATTATTTTCTTGACAATTTAAGTTGCAAAATGTATGTTAATTTTATGTAAGAGACTATTATGCAGCTTACAATTTCAAATTTATTTATGGAAATTAAATCTAAAGCTTTAATTACAGTAAGTTCAAAAAATTAAAAGACACATGTTTAGTTGTTTTAGATTACTAAAGTGTCTATAGTTTTAAATAAATGTTCTTACCTGGTCTCCTCATGTTTTAATGCAAGTAAACAAAGGGAATTTTTTTTCTAGTTTTCTTTGCATCTCTATGGCTTTGATCTTATAATGGATATTTTAAGAATAAATATTTGTTTTTAAAAGAAAAAATATCACAGTGAATCAAAACTGGTTTTAATGAATTAACTTGGCATACTACATGTAGGTATCTATTTACAGATCTGTTACACTGCACAAATGAGCCAAACGTATCCATCCCAGAGTTGGCAGACCTGCTGATAGCAAGAACACAAAACTCTTCATGGGTTGTTGTTTTTAAATCTCTGGTTACTGTTCATCATCTTATGTGTTATGGAAATGAGGTTAGTATAATTCTAGAATATAATAAAAAAAACAGCATTTTTTTTTAAGAAACAAGACTTAAATTTGCATATTTAAACAGTTGTTGAAGATTTACTGCTGTATGTGTATGTTAATTGCATAACTAGGAAATAACTAACAAAAAATATACCTAAAACTTCAAGTAGTTCAAATATACGAATATTTCAAAGCCACTAAAATATTGTGTTTGGCTGAAATCTTGACAGTTTTTTCTTTATTTTTTGCCTGCTGTATTTTATTATTTCTATTATATATTTTTTCAAATATAACATAGTGGTAGACTGTTGTCTTTCAGAGGTATGTATGCAAGACATAACAATCCAAAAACTGCTGTTTCAAGTGGCTGATGTCACTCCCAGCATCATACACTGTTGTACATTACCTCTGAAGCCTACATGTAGATGTTTAAAAAAGTGTTTATACAGGTGTAGCAGATATATCTAACATTAAGGAGCCAGCAATAAATCCTCTGTGCCAGGATAATAGCTGAACCCAGTGAGGGGCAAGGGGGTAATCCCCACTTTGGCGCAAGAAAATTTGTGCTCAGTTGTAATGTTTTGTGAGTCATGATTGATATACACAAACAAAATTAACAGTGTAAAATGCACAGAAACTATCAGTTCCTACCTAGAGCTTACTTGCTGATACTCTTTTATTGGCTAGTAGGTAAACATTAGAAATCTAATATTCTTTGCAGAGTCATGTCAATTCAGTCTTTATGGTAAATTAAATGCTGTACTAATATTTTTCATATTTAATTATATCACAGATATCTTTATATATCCTCCTCTCACAAAATAGCTTTTATTGATTAGTACTGCTGTCTATCGGTGCAAATTTTCAATGCTCGCCACTAGCCTTCCACCTCCTGCTTCTGCATATCCACATGTAAATGATTATGCAGCAGCTTTCCGCCAATATCATAACCAGCATCCTCTCCACACTTGCGCTCGTTAATCACTTTTTAATTGGCAGTAGTACAGTGTAGACGGGCTTGTTTTTGCTTGCAAATTTGTCAGTGTTTTCATTTATACTGCAGACCTTTTCTTTACTATGTTCATGTTATTTCTTTATGTACAGGGATCTTTTTGATAGTGTATTGTGGATCCCACTCTGTGGCGAGTGGTGCCTGACCAGGTATACTTTTTTTTCTCCAAAATTCCACACTGTTCATCCTGTGACTATGCTTGATATCAATTATGTTATAGCTCTTCCTACCAGGAACCTGATGTACAATTCCAAATGCCACCAGGTATTGGTTTTGTATGTGTCTTCATTTGTCATCTATGCTGTAAGAATTATGTTGCAGGATTAGGTTATGCACACCGTAGAGATGGGGTGTACTGTAGACCGTTAGTAGTTCTCTCTAGTGGTATTTGCTTCATAAATATGTTCATCCTAGACTGTACACTTATGGGCACACATTGAGACTCTTCCTACCGTGGACCCGGCGTACAATTCCAGATGCCACCAGGTGTTGGTTGATTGACTCCATCAAACTGGTAGTTCTGCTTTCCAGAATGGGGTATTGTGGTCACCCGTTGCATTGCCTTCGGTGATACGGTCCCCCAGACTCTCCAGTATATTTTTTCATCCTTTCTTCTAGTACAATATGGAAGTCCTTGGACCATGGAGGCCTGTCCTCCTGAGTGATGTTTCATACCACTCAGAGAGTAGGGAAGTGGCATTCTGTGGGTGTTGATGGCATATAGCATTTGCTACCATGGACCTGGTTTTGGTTGTAGCACTACAGATATATATATCTGGCAGATTGCTTTTCCACACTGTGGCTATCCACCGGATACACATTCCTGATGTCCCTGGTGTTGGTTAGAGATGGCTCGGTCCCGATTAAATCATGTTTCAATGGCTTGATGCCCTTCCTACCATGTACCTGATGTACAATTCCAGAGGCAGCCAATGTTTGGTTGAAGCACTCCACCATATTGCAATTTGTCCCTCAGGTTGAGACATTTCTCCTACCAACCATCCTCTGGATGTGGTTCCCTAGGGGTCAGGTGTTGCTTGGAGGTTTCCAGCTAAGTAAGTCCTCACATCTGTTCTGTTCTGTGTCCCTCCTCCTACTACAGACTGGATAAAAAATTGCCAATGCCTCCAGGTTTTGGCTGGGGATGCACCCCAGGTTTGCTGTCCCTCTTCTTACTGTCTGCTAGATGTTGGTTCCTGGCAGATCTGGTGTTCATTATAGCTGGATGCAGCACATGTATTCCCACTTGTGTATGGCTGGGTATTCTCCTCCTATAGCAGACTGGAAGAACCATACCCAATGCTGCCAGGTTTTAAACTGGAGATGTCATCCCACCTGGGTATTCTCCTCCTACAGCAGACTGGAAGAACCATACCCAATGCTGCCAGGTTTTAAACTGGAGATGTCATCCCACTGGCTTTCAACCTTCCTACTGTCTACAGCAGACTGGAAGAACCATACCCAATGCTGCCAGGTTTTAAACTGGAGATATCATCCCACTGGCCTTCAACCTACTGTCCACTGGATGTCAGTTCATGGTGGATCAGGTGTTTGTTGCATGCAAGTGGAGACAGATTTTGGTACAGAAGCTTGTCTTCCCTAACAATTTTTTTTTAAAGGTAGGTGATCCTCTGCCTACCGCAGAACCGATGTACAATTCCAGATAGTACTGAGTGTTGGATAAGGTCAAATTACCTCTATGGTCTTTCATGCTCTAGCCACTCGACACCCAGGGGTACCATTAATTGGTAATACTTCATGTTTTTAGTCTTTTATGTTTGCAACACAGTCATAAAAGAGAGAAGAATATATCTGGATCAGGTGTGGTACTGTCTCCCTCTGCAGTGTGATATTTTCTGTTTTGGTTCCACACCTCATGGTCTCTTCTAAAGGGGGATCATTTTTTTACCAGCTCTCTACCAGTTCAATGTGGGATTCTAGCTATTTTGTGAAGGGATGTAAAATATTGAATCGGAAATTAACATTTTCCTAAACTGAAAATGTATTTCTGATAGATACTTGCCTCCTCTCACATTTCCCACCCAGCCTCCCCACTTCTGGTGATATGTGGTGTAGGTCTTCTGACCAATCTAGACATGATCAACATGCTGGTTAGTATAGGGGTTGTGTCGTGCTTCTATCAGTGGAGAGCTACTGTTTAATCATATACATGTGGATATGCAAAAATTGGACGTGGAAGGCTAGTGGAAGCATTAAAAATTTGCACCAGTAAAGGGCAGTACTAATTGAGAAAAGCTGTTTTGTGAAAGTGAGTGAGTAGCTATCAGAAATACATTTTCCATTTAGGAAAATGTTAACTTTGGCTTTCATCTTATTGATAGTGTAAGTAATATTACCATGGAGAACTAAATGTGATTAAGAAGTGAAATTTTGTTATGAGTAAGAATTTTTAATGCCTTATTATCCATGTAAGGGTTGTTTCCATTACTGTAACAAGCATTTTTATCCTTACAATTTGCAAAGTAATTGTATTACAATAAATAAAACCAATGAAAAAGTACATTTGGGCAACTAGCAAGGATGTGGTAATGTGTGGAATTGTGCCCACGTTTTCAGCTGTTTACTGCTATTTTTATTCTGGGTAGCCTCTAGTGGTGGATGCTTGCTACCACATGTAGTGGTGCTTATTTTATTATATATATTGTTATACATCCAAAATTGATGTGATGTCTTTTCTTTTTATTGTACAATGGGTATTTTTTCTGTTACTATGAAAAATACATACAGATAATTTCTTCAAACAGTATAAGATTTATTTGTGGTGATGTATTGATAGCAACGGTGTTTACTTTCTACCCACCCTCCCAATCACTCTCTTTGTTTATCATCTCCACATTTCTCAGTCTTTCACTGCACTTGGACAATTTATTCTGGAGGGCTGAAAGGTCAAACACATGTAGATAATAAACACCATATATTTCAAGAATATACATAAAATGTCTTAGAATAGCTACATGCAAAACATAAATGGTAAGCAATTGCAAAAAATTAGCCAAAACATATGGGATTCAATGGTTATTTGGGTCACATTCCTGTCTTCACCAGAAACATGTATGAAAGTAGGATCCTAGTTCTACAAAATGAAACAATAGCATACAATACCATTTGAGTGACCTTTGTGTAGTTTCAGCAAAGCCAATTTGCATATCAGCTTTGACAATGAGTCTTGTATCATTTATAGTCCTCTATCACATCAGGTTTCTTTATTTTCAACAGCTATTCTGTCTTCCTTTCAGTATCAACCTTTTTTTTGTTCGTGAAACATATTCACTTCGTGTTTGCCATTCCATTTCATATCTAAAATGTTATTTGCATGAAGAATGGAGAATTCTCTTCTTGACACTGGTGCTAATTCAGGGAAAAAATTTCTATTGGAACAAACTGTTCCACAAGTTCCAACCCTTTTTGAAAATAGAAAATAGAAGAATTGTGGACCTGTACACCAGTTATCAACAAATAAATTGTGTCCTTTATCAGAATATGGTTCCATCATCTATCTCACAGCTTTTCCAGATGCTCCAAGTGGGTGGTATTTCTGTTGTTCCTCTGGTGTAAATAATGAAGTGAAGCACAAATCCACTTTCACAATCATGCAAAACAGATATTTCTATGCCACTTGCATGGAATATACTATTTGAATGCTAGACGGTCTTTGAATAAGATCAAGACTTTCATCAATCACTACATTTTGAAGGGACAAAATACTGCTCCAAATTTTTCTTTCAGATAAAAAAACACCAGTCTTATTTTTTTCAGTGTGTCTGTTGAAGGAACAGAGTGGTCCGAAAAATGCAGCATTTGTAGAATCAAGAGGAAATGTGATTTTGGCATGACTTTAGAAATAGAGGTGTGGAAATTAGATTATCTTTGGCCCAATATACTAATTTCTTGTTTTTTTTATGTGAGGCATTAGCATGCACAATCCCAGAAAGACATACAACTCATTAATTGTTACCTCTTTCTATCTAAGTGAATATGATGGCGATGGCACTCTTACCTTCTCCTTTATAAATAAATAATGCTTATTTGACTCTGTCTGTATTATTTTCATTTGTATGTGGTCAGAAATAGTATGAAATATTCCAATTCATTGCTATTATCACTTATTCCTGCATTGCTAGCAATGCCACCATGATAGAAATCGAAATCAAACAGCTGTGGCAATAAATCTCCAGCCTGCCACTGCCAGTCAGCATTGTGAAGATCAACTGTCATCTCAGGAGGAAAGCTTGTAATGCTGGTTCTACTTATGGTAGTCACAGGTTCATTGGCTTCTGCTTCTTCACTTTTGCTGCTTGAAAACCCAGTATTTATTTTGTCACTTTCTACAGCAATGCCAGTGACTTCATCATCATCATCCAGCTCAAGTAAATAATTATGTGAGACATTTTGTGTATATATATGGGTGGAGATGATGTCTTTCATGCAAAAATATATGGGTGGAGATGGTAAAGTGGTAAACTAGTCAATTTAACCCTTTTGCTACAGGTAGATGAGTGTGTGCATGTTACGGCCATTTACAATGTTACATTTAAACAAAATATAATTAACTATTTTACTGTCAATGTATATGAATAAACATGGTATCAAAACATAGTTAATGAAACAAAATTTAATATTACTTAAGTTTTAAGTATTTTAAATATTTAAAAACATCCTCAATCTCCTTTAGTAGGAGAAATGTGACATTTGTCGTCTCAAGGTCTTCCCCTTCTCTAATCAACCCTCTTTGAAATACAGAATTTAACAGAAATTATTCATTATAATATAAATATTACTAACACAAAGTAATTTTTATAGCCTTCAGTCTTATTTGTTTACAGTCATAAACTAGAAAATCAGGCACACTTGCCACATTCCCTCTCTCACAGATTGCCAATACTTCTGTCTGTTTAAATTGTATCATTTATAACCAATATAAAGGTTAAGTTTTAATCTACCACATGATGTATAATGTTTTCAGTTCAGAGTATTGTCAGTTTTATCTTCAGTTTAAAAGTTTGTCTTGTGCTGTTCAAATTGAACAGCAAAGGGAATTATTTTAAGCCTCTCTTGCCCTAATTAGAAAGCCAGTTAAATCATAATAATTATAGGACGTTGTTTGTTTTGTGTGTGTTGTTATTCTGTGTTCTTAGAAGCATTATTTAAGCAAATAAAAATTATTTAGTGTACTAGTACCATCATCATACAAAAAAAAGGTAGGCTTAAATTTCATTGGCAACTGTTTTTCATGTATAATATTTATTTTTGGTTATAAAAGTAACTAAAATCTAAAAATTAGAAACTAGTTAGGTAAAGATAAAGAAAAATAATGATAAATATTCATCACAAGGTATGCTCATGAGTAGCTTGTATGTTACATCAATCAATACTGTAACAGGAGCTACACATTCACTGAGTGACTTACAACTTGTTTGACAGGATTATTAGTTAGATATGGTTTAATGGGCAATAAAACATTAAATTAAGTATAAACAGATGTAAAGTGTTACAAGTTTAGGCTATTTAGAATAAACAATGGTGGTTTCGTGTTACAGTCTGCAGTCCTTTTAGAAAGAGAAAAGGGGTAATTTAGATTCATTTTATATTTTTCTATGGTGATAATAAGGTCAGTTAAACTGACTGATTCTGTATAGAATAAGGGTAGAGAAAATAAGAAATAAAATATAAAGTTTTACTGAAAATAAAAAGTTTGATATATTTGTTTTATGAAGTTTTAGAGCTTATGTAAATTACATTAACAAATAAAATATAATATAAAGTTTTACTGCAAATAAAAAGTTTGAAAATTTTCAGAGATGACAAGAAGTATTTTCAATCTAAACATAAAAAATCAAATTGCACCTGGAGCAGTCAACATTGATTCCCTATAGGAGCAGTCAACATTGATTCCCTATATTCATGGACAATCTTTAAGGAAAATACTAATTTAAAAAATCTGATTTTTGTTTACATTACACTTGCAATGTTTACTGAAAGCTTGTTAAACTTTTTGAAGAAAAAAAGCTTATTAAAAGTTATTTTATGTAAACTTATTTTCACTGCAAACTTGTACGTGTACTTTGGATACTAGAGAATTTATTCTGATGTTTTGTGAGGGAGAGATCAAACAGTTTAATGTAGAGAATTTGTATAAGGTCACTGTATTAAACCAACATTTGTCTTTTATATTTACTAGTAGAAATAACTAAAAAATGGAATGGTTCAATTCATTTTAATTGTGATAATTGGTCTTTTTAGGAAGTATTGACACATTTTGGGAAAAGGTTATTAGTGTACTGATCCTACAGAATATTATACAGAGACATCTCAAGAGTAAATAGACACCATTATTTTTTTCAATAGTCATTTATCTCACATTATCAACTTGACAAAAATGTTTACAAATGTGCATCAGTACTTAGTCGATTTGCCACTAGGATTCCATGCCAGAACGAGTCAAAGCACTGAAAAATGACTCATCGATTCCATGCCAGAACGAGTCAAAGCACTGAAAAATGACTCATCTATTCCATGCCAGAACGAGTCAAAGCACTGAAAAATGAATGAGTCATTTTTCAGTGCTTTGACTTGTTCTGGCATGGAATCGATGAGTCATTTTTCAGTACTTTGACTCGTTCTGGCATGGAATCGATGAGCTCTGCAGTTTTCTCCTGTAGGATCTTGACCCAGGCTGCACGCAAAACATCAAGTAGCTCTCCACAGGATGCTGGTTTTCTGGAACTTCTTCTCACTGTTCGAGCAAGTATGGCCCAGACATCCTCGATGGGGTTCATATCAGGTGACTGACTTGGCCATGGAAGCCGTTGGATGCCTTTCTTAATTAAATGACTATTGAATAAATATCATGGTGTCTATTTACTTTTGAGATGTCTCTGTACATAGCATTTTGTAAATTGCCATGTATTGTATTAGAGATATCAGTGTGATATATGATAGTTAATTACGGTGTAAAATGTTTTGGGTTGTGATTATTCATTCATAATAATTGTTTTGTTTTTCAGTAGAAGTTTTAACTTTTGTATTCTTTTAATTTAAAAAAAATTTGACAAGAAAAATGTATTTTTTACTCTTAGAACTAGTATTCTTTTTAGCAGTAGCAATAAAAAAAACTTGTGATTTCTTGTCAAGAGCACTTAAGTGAGAACAAAACATTTTCATTTACAGTGTGATAATATGGTTTTCATTAATTGTTCATTTTGTTATTTTTATAATTTTTCAAGTACAATAATTGTAAGACAATTTTTCATTGTTATCTATACTTTCAGCGATTCACACAGTATTTGGCCTCTAGCAACTGTACCTTTCAACTTAGTAATTTCTTGGATAAAAGTGGACTTCAAGGTATTCATGGGCCTATTTTTTATTTATGAGTTAGTAATTGATGATCTTTTAAGAATTAAAAATTCTGGTTTTATTGATTGTTTCAGATTGTTTCAGTCTGGAATTTATGTATGTTAATTTCTTGTACCTGTTTTAAATTAATGTTGTTATTAATTTCTCTATAAATAACCCGTTTATTTCCACATACTGTATATACTTTACAAATTGTAACTTATTTATCTTGGTTTTGTATTCAGAATTGTTTGATAACATGAATCACTTTTCTTGATGGGTCTGTTGTGTAATTGCTTTTATGATATTGAAATTGTTTTGTCTCAATCTATGTTGAATAAATTGATCATATTCGTGTGTGTTTATGCTCAGAAAACACAATCTTTGGAAAGTAGTATGATGTTATTTAAAACAACTCCAATTATATAAAATTAAAATGTTCATAAGAAATCTAAAAATTACAAAATACAACAATCTGTTTTTGTCTGATTGTAGCAGATCATGTGTCGAACATTAATTGAGCTGGAGGGTTTTGTTAGAAGCTGTTATTTCTCATTAATTACTGACTGTTGGTTTTTCAGGTTACGATATGTCTACTTTTATCAGAAGATATGCAAGATACCTCAATGAAAAAGCCGTTTCTTACAGAACTGTAGCTTTTGATTTTTGCAAAGTGAAACGAGGGTAATTATGATAGTTGTTATATTGATTGTTTGGAACTTTGAAATCTTGAATGTCTTTTTTTTGTAGAAGTATTGCTTACACCCACAACGTCTCAACTCCTACTGTCTGCAGCCATTTGTGGAAAGACAGTTACCCTGGAAAGTTCTTATAGTTCCTAAGGTAGAAATCCAATCACCCTAAAATTTCTACTATAAGAAACTCCCAACCTCTCCACCCTTACAAATGAAATTAAATAAAACTAAATGATCTTAAATAGAACTACAAACCCCACCTTAATAGTTGTACTGCCCTCCCACAGTTGGCTGCAGACAGTGAAGGGCAGTAGGAGCTGAAATGCTGTAGGTGTAAGCAGTGAACTCCATACCCTTAATCGTTTCGAGACAGATTACAGGTGAAAGGCCATGTTATCTCGTTTGTTGACGTGTATTCAAAATTTTACTGAACTACTATT